GCCAGAATAAACCGCTTTTTAACTTACAAACTATGATAAAATTACTAATACAGTATGGAACGGAAAACCAGAAGTTTGGCCGATTATTATTGAGAAGGAAGAAGTTTACCAGAACAACCTCAATTAAGACAGCACAGAGGTACTCCAGATTAATTCTTAAAAACGGAATATTAAATGAGTGGTTATTGGTACCATTGTTATAGAGGTTAACATACAATGGACCTTTGTAATTACTTTTTTTGTAACATAGTAATTTTATTTGTGTATCCAAATAAACTATCACTCGACTAAGAGAGCTGTATATTTGTCATAGACGTAGATGATGCTCCACCAACTATTTACAGTATCTACTTTTTGTGCTCATGCCACTAGGGTATTGTTGGCCTTTGCCAACAGTGTATTAAAAAAGACACAAGAGCATTCACAAACGTATTACATATTATAAGGAGTATTATTTACTTTATTTAATAATATACATTACAATAACGCATGCAATGAGCACTTAATTTATAATTACAATATGCTGCAACAAAACATTCAACTATATACATACTGAACGTTACCATACTAAAATCTAGCTATTTGCTTTACACATCCGTGGAATTATGGCGTCTTGCAACAAATTCACCGTCGTCAGCAATTTTCTCCAACGGCTCATTGTTGGTCTCAGGTAAACGAGTTGTAGACGCTGCCCCAATTACCATGGAGACGGAATACACGAGAGAGGCAACGAAAAATCGCGACCGAAAATTTTCAACCGAATGGACGTCATAAAGCCATTCAAATATCAAATAGGACAGTATGACGCCAACTTTTCCAAACGCTGCGCTTATACCATAAGCAGTTGAACGATAGCGTGTTGGAAATAGTTCGGCGGGCACGACGAAGGCCACCGCTTGCGAACCGAACGTTAAAAAGAACTAGTAATGTTTTAAAAAATAAAGTTGTTTTACGGTTAGCATTGGGGGAAAAATAAGCTGTGCTGTCAAGAATTTTTCAAAAACTGAATGCTTACGAGAGTGACGGTAGAAACTGAATAATATAAACGGCTTTGACCCAGTTCGTCTATTTGCACAAACTGAATCAAGAATCCCGAAAGGGTGAATAAAATTGCACATGCCGTAAACCCAGTGTATAAAATAGGTTTTCTGCCCCACCGGTCTATTAGACATATGGTAAGTAAGGCACCAGGTATATAACCAACAATAAGGCGAATCACATTGTTCAAATTATGTTGCATGAGAACAGTATAAGGCGAGCTCTCGCCATTATTTATGATAATTCCATCAACAAGAGCATCAGCCCGATATCCAGTTGAGCTAATGTTGGCGCAGAACCAAATCAGAGACGTCACAATCAAGTATTTTCCGCTTTTTCCTGAACGAAAATGTTTGTACATGTCGAGCAAATGGTTTGTGCTTTGCGTTGGTTTGGATTTTCTTTGGTAGTCGTAGTTTCCAATCTGCGACGGTTCGATTTTGTGAGTCCAATCGATTTCTCCTTCAACGTCGATTATATAGCGAGGTGTCTCGGGAATCGATAATCTAAAGTACAGTGCGATTATCGCAGGTATAGCGCCAAACCCGACAGTAAGTCTCCACACATAATCGAGACTTTGTGGATCATGGTCGATGGATTCTCGGAACGCAGCAAGAACGATAATAGAGACAATGCCAGCCGAAAGCATCCCCAAGGCAAAAATGGCAAACCCTGCTGCCAACATTCTTCCCCTGAATCTTGTAGGCGCAAGTTCAGAGATGATAACTGTGGGCGAATAAATGGTAAATTAAGTCGTGCGTTGAAAATGTTACCTTTAATATAAAGAAATGATACATACGCGCACTAATTGGGTAATCCCCACCAATTCCTATGCCGAGAATGACTCGACAAAAGACGAAACTGCCCACAAATGACACGGCAAGACTCTGTCCAGCTATAGCAGAAAACAGCGTGCCGATCACCACGAGGATCAACTCTACGCCAAACATCTGCGTAAATCGAAAAAACATGAATTAGGATTTACACGACTTTTGAATTCGACTCTTCAACTATATTCATTACTATTACTTTTTTCCGTCCATACTTGTCGGCCATGTAGCCGAATAGCAAGTGACCCAATATAGAGCCAAACCGAACCGAAGTTCTCATGATAAATCGAGTGGGCGCATCGTTACCATATGCGCCTAACATTAACAGTACAAAGCTGATTGTATTTAGACTATACCCTGAGGTGAAGAAACCGGCGCTCGCTACTAAGCAGACTCTAAAGTGCGACGAATTGATGATGGCTTCATCAAATTCCTTGAGTGCTTTTTTGCGTTGAGCAAGAAAGTCTTGCGAAGTTTGTGAGGAAGATGAAGAAATCGAGTTTGTCCGAGAGCGTTTTTCTGTACTCATTTTGTTTGTTAATTGTCAAGTTGAAGTTGGCTGGGATCTATTTATAACGTGAGGCAAAAGATCGACCAAAAACAGACATTGGAGCGTTTGTGTTATATAACAGATTAATTATTCTACTGTTTTGAGTTTTTTAATGAGACACTTGTATAAAACAAACATTAAATTCTTTCATGATTGGTATGTGCTTGGAAGAGACCAAAACAGCTATTACTTTAGTTCTGGCATTACGTGTATTTGTTTGGGATTTGTAATAATTACAAATAATTTGCGGATATTTTTCGAGATTGACCAAGCAGTGTATCCGTATATGAGACAAGCGATAGCATATAGAGTATGACTTGACGATAGCAAACTACAGTAGCAGTGGCGATAACGATAGCAAATAGGGATAGCAACTAGTGTTAGTATTTTCGAAAAACGGGTTATCACATTGGAAATCCGTTGACTATTCATTTTTAATTTCCAAGTTTGGAGTTTTGCGTTCTTTTATTATCTACATTAATTTCCAAGTTTGGGCCAAGGAATAAATTGCTTGTTTATATTTATTTTTATTACTCAAACCCCCATCGTCGTACACGGCGCTGTGTTTCTTGACGATCATCGACAGTCATTTCATAAGCATCGTAATAAAGTAATGATCAATCGATGGGATTGTTTAATGTTAAGGTCTATTTGAATATATATATTGCGAATAACTCATGTTAAGATGAGCAGACAATTAACAAGTAGCGCATTATTAAAATGACATATTATGAGCAATAACTTGAAGAAATTCCATAACCAACCTTTGTCACGGTCATTTCATATAACCTTATCTCTTTATGTAAGTCGTGGTGTTCCGCGCACAACTGATTTCATTTCATGTTGAACATAATTTTGTTTCTTTCGTATTCTGTTGGATGTTAAGACCAGACATTGATAAATGGTTTGGGCCAAATGAACATCTAATCGATGAGTCGTGATCAAGGAATTATACTCTGCTCTCCTTAAAAACTGTAAATCCCGTTTGGGGTCCCTAACAACCGCATTTACATGGTGACAGGATTTACATACAACATATATACCAATAGTGAACATTTATGCATTGGTAAAAATATCTCACACTGCAAGAGAGGTAAGACAAATGTTATCAATATTATAAATAGTAACGCAGCATAACGTTAGATGGCGTGATAATAGACACATGGTCAAAATTCCGAGAAAGATTGAAATGTCCGAACAGGTTGTCAGATAACTTTAGTTCAAGATTTGAAACTCGAGGGTTTCAATGATTCTAATTTCCGTAAGGGAAACATGGGGAAATCTGCATCGAAAATTCTCAGATTTTGAAACTTTGTTTAGCGTTCGACAAAACTTTACAGACAGCTTATTCTACAACTCACAAGACTGCTTGCACTTACTAACAGCTGATAAAAAAAAAGGACTCGGTTAATGATTTTACTATTTGTTGTTTCTATCTTTTTTGTTTTCTCGCTAGCCTCCTTTATTGTTAATCGTAACATTTGTGCATAAACCAAAGTAAGCGCAACTGGGTATTCTTAGACGCATGCAATAATCGAAATAGTTTTTTAACTCCAAGTCAGCTGGTCTTAATTGTCAATTTACCACAGACTTGAATTCTATACATTGATACGAATTGCATTGGCCAACTTGTGAGATGTTATATGCATTATTGTTAGCATGACGTTATTTATAGTTAGGATGGCAAGTCATTATCTGACAAAATTCTTATGTCTACATAGACCATAGCTTTTTCACGAGAGAGAATTGTTATTCTTTATTGTTGCCGTTGTGATAAATTTTAGTGATTAGATGCATTCAGCGAATTTTCTATGGTCATAGTTTGTTTGCGAAATATATTGGTTGCTGCATACTTATTTTCAGAAATAGCATGTCAATTATAGAACGACTGAGCAAGCAACGAGAAGTGGCCATTACTATTTTTACTTGTGATTTTCTTGTCACACCATATTTGTTGACAGTAATTTGCGAATGTGACACATGTCTGTATAATATACAGTACATATCTATATTTATCAAATCACAAGCACTACCACTACGTCACTTGCATATATAAAATAAGATGCATGTCTCATGCCCAATAATGTTACGCCCATAAAAGGGGGACGCATTTACCAAATGTTCCGCAAAAAGGAACAACATTACAAATAACAGAATTTTAAATTATTATTACTTTGTCAATCTCTCAACTAACTGGCCATCGTTTTGCAAACATTGTTTAAGTTTAAACCTTGTTTATAATTTAAAAGTCATTAACGAATTTGTGTAATCAAGGAGCTAACATGTCCTATATGCTATAAGCAGGATACGCATTGTCAAACATTTAAGTCAGCCAGAATTCTCGCCACTGGTCATCTATTTCGGACAAAAATAGTTTGACCAAATTTGGTAATTACTTTGGACAATGACTTTTTGTTTGTACGCTACGAATAGCGCGACACACGTTCTATCCAACAAATATATAAAGGCCTCGTCTGTTCGACTGACTTTTCTTTTATAAGAAGTTGTTCTAATCAAAGGCTTCTTATTGAATAGCGTCCATATCTACGAATCTTACTGTACGAACTTTATAAAAAGCCAAAATGTCTCAAAAGAATTCCATCTTGATTTTCGTCTTCCTGGCTCTATTGCTTCCTTTATCCTTGGTCGCTCATCCGGTCAAACGAGTTAACGGTGATGTTGCGTATTCTGCATTTTCCACACCTAGTGGCTATATTCAATACTCCGAATCAGCGACAAAGACTACCATCGTTGGAAAATGGAATGACGGATTTGTAGATGGCGACTGGGCTAACTACAAAATCTTGATTGTGAAGACAACGGCTCCCGCCACAATTTTGTACGATTTGACGCCTTTGTTCAAAGGTCCTCCTGCAGTGCTAACTCAAAATGGCGGAACTGAGGGTTGGAGATTTGACATTACCGGACATTTCCTTCGTACCTGGAATAAACAGACAATGATTGTTAAACACAATGGTGTTACACTTGGTTCGGCAACTATTAATGGCCTTTGGGTGGGCGCTTAATGTATTTTCCGCACCTAGAATTGTAGTTGTTCTTTTATAATAATATGTTACTATGATAGATCCAATATAGTTTTTACATAAACAACACTTTTGTGCAATATAAACGCATAATTTGGATAGATATTTAGTTAGAAATTCCTAATTGTCGGTTTGTTTGGTGTGCATTACTTAATAATAAATGTACAACTCTATTACAACAATTCATCATTATTGTGTTATAAACGTGATTTATATGTCTTCTCTAACAAGAGAATCACTTGTTTATTGCTACATGGTTAATACTGCAAATGTATACTAGATAGTGTGCGCAACACCATTGCTGAGTGTATCATAAAAACGCGGTTTCTTTTTTGTGGAAACTGACTGGTGTGTGTATTGGAATATCGAAATACGTGATCATGCATTACACGTATACAAGTCAATCAATGGTTTCGTTAATCGGTTAGCTATGTCAAATTGCCCTCCCGTAATTAGCTGCACACACATATTCTGTTTCTTTGTGCCCAGTTTTTGTTAAGTTTAAGTTACGTGGTATGTAAATTAGCATAATGACTGGACAAGTACATGATATATTGAATAACGCTTGACTTAGGCCAAACTTTAGTATGACTATATTGTAAGTGAGACAATTTTTTGCTTCAATAAATGTTGAACTAGTTTTCTGTCGTACCACTATGTACGGATTTCGCGATACTTAATATTAGGTTAATACGCTTGCGTAATTCCTTGACAATTTGGTGCCGCTCAGGTTTAATTGCTCACTATTCTCGTAGTATTACACGCTTCCCGGATACGATTGTCCTAGGGAAATACTACATCAAATAAATTAATCTGCAAAGTAATAAATTTCTATCGAGTTTTTTCTTTTAATAAGCCAGTAAGCAAGACTACTACTACATATTATTTATATTGGTTGGATATTTACGGAGATATGAGCCTGTAAATTCAATTATTTTAAACATTGAGCAAGTTTGTGAGTCATCGTTTATCAAAAGAAAGGTTATGTAACTAAATATTAATAAAAACTTTGATTATACAATTACTCAAAAATGGTTCAAACACGTCTATAATAATAAGAATGTAACCTGTAAATTAATACGAGACTATTGAAATTAGTTAATAAATTTTATTTTTTCCGTTCAACGAAGCAAGATATTTCAACTAAATTTTTGTGACCAATAGTATAGCGGTTATTTGCCCTTTCCAATGATGTAAATTTAATGCGTGTATTAATTATTGAACTTTTCCGTAGTATTTTTAGTTGAGTAAAGTAGATTATAATAGACACGATAGCTAATACTAACATATCATCACTACTTAGACTTTGAAATAAATATTGTGATGACATAACATGTGAAGGTCAGATTTTCATTCCAGCAAGGCTCAATTATAATGGTTGTTTGTTGTTTTTTTTCATGAAGATTCTTAACATAAATGACTTTCAGATCAATTTTGAAGTAGTTTTAACTAGCAATTTGCTTGACTATTGTGATATAGTGATTAGTGATAGCGATATAGCGATATAGCGATATAGTCCACTTGTTTAGTAAAAGGATAAGATCTGTAAAGATCTGCAAAATCAGTAACTCATACTAGGGATGTTAATGGTCCAGTCCCATCCAATCTGGTTCTAAAACCATAGTCCCAATGCAAAATTGGCTACTTAGAATTGAAATCCTATAGGATGGCTGTGAATCGTCCCATAGGATTGAGTCGTATATTGGCTCGGACCGCTTAGTCGCGACAACTTTTGCAGACAAGCTTTAACTTGTAATTAACAGACAATGAGACAATTTTTTATTATAAAATTTCTGTATTTTTGTGTCATTCAAGATTGAACGTTCAAAACCATGTAAAGATTTTAGAAATCCGATGAAAGATTCTAGAGAAATTGAATTCAAAAGAAGCAACATTTTCATATGAATGACAGAATTTGGCACCATAAACACGTCACAATCACCAATAAGAATGCGTTTTCTCACGATATCAAAGAAAAAAAATTCTTGCGATATGCGCATTCCGTGAAGCAATTGTGATTATACTTGGAAGGGGTTACAAAAGATAGACCAGAGGCGTTGGATCCAATTTCTTTAAAGCAAATTCGTGGTTATGCGCAAAAGTCTTTCTATATATGGATGCCTATAGAAAAAGACTTAATCCCAAGCAAGCTGAGTATGCAGTTAGTCGGTATAGTCAGCATTTTTGAACAATTGTAATAAATTTACTATACCCCTTGATCACATGATCCATATATAAATCGTAAATTTGGCTCCCCTTGATCACATGATCTATGTGTAATCGTAAATACCTTTTTCTCAAATTTGTCGCGACTAAGCGGTCTGAGCCAATATAAGACTCAATCCTATGGGACGATTTACAACCATTCCATTCTATGAGACGATTCATAACCATCCCATTCTATGAGACGATTCACAACCATCCTATTCTACAATTCTATGGGACGATTCATAACCATTGTGTAGAACCGCAATCCCTAAGGTGACTGTGGGATTGAGGGATTCTATGATTTCCTAAAAAGGGATCGGATTATGTTCGGTCCAGTCAGGGACTATCCAGGATTCGATCTCGAGTGGACCATTAAACTCATACTGGAAGATCACGAGTTACGCCCAGAATGATTATAATAAATAATAGTAAAAGCACCAGAGTGATTACATGGGAGGAAATACTCGGACACAAAGACAAATGCAAATTTCTGCGCATTGATTATCATTGGTCACATTATGCATACAGTTACTGTACATCTAATTATAATGTAAACAACAATAAATAAATTCACACATCTCTGAAAAATGGCAAATACAAAGACCAATTTTGAAGACTTTCTTCAATTTCTGGAAGACAATGATCTTGCAGTGGTAAAGGAAATATAAGTACCAAGACTTGGGAATACATCATTGGGCTGGATGCTGTAGAAGTGTGGGAACAACTTGGTGCAGCACCCATAGTAATAGATGCAAGAATCATTGCCAGCTTCATAAAGAGATAGTGTCAAGGTAATAGTAAGGCTAAGATGTTGGATACATGGGATGGAGGTAACAACTTTGTGACTTGGGCATTTACATTGGGGACATAGTAATAGAGTAGTGTGTACATAGTAATAGGGTAGAGTAGACAGAGTAATATGGGTGTAATATAGTTTATTGGGAAATGTTACAGTATCTAGCTCAAGTGGTAACATTATATATATAGTCATTTGTAGTGGTCATTTTTACATTTTCTCTACTAACAATTTGTCTGCATTCATCATTAGTGGAGTCAGCAAAAGATTGAAACACATAACTTTTTGATTCACATCATATGAAGTCAGAGTAAAACAGCTCAATGATGCACTGTTTAAATGGGTCATTTGTGACCAGCAGCCCTTTAATTTGATCGAAAATCATGATTTGTAATTTGGCTCATCCATTGCACTAAAAACAATCTATTGTTCATACTTTTAAAATGTTAATTTTTTACACAGCTAATAGTAATAGTATTAATCTTTTTCTAGTACTAGGTCTTTCTCAGACCATAACTGGGTTACAAGGCCCATGGGTCATCCATGATTCATCAACAAGGGAATACTTTGAGCTGACTGCTAAAATTGATATTGCCATCCTGGATGGAGAGCACCAATACCTCAAAGTAAAAGCCGAAATCCATGATGCAACCCTAATCCAGGACCCCATCTTTCTAGCTGCTAAAGCATTCTCTTTGTCTTCTCGATTTTTATCAAAATTGTCGTCTCCGATAGCAGTGTAATACTATTTTGTATGTGCTCTTTGTGAGAGAATGGGAAAAAATGGAAACATAGAAACAAGCAAGTTAATAAAAGCCCATGGATAGATGAGCAGAAGGTATATTTGCTGCACTCTATTCTATGCAGACAGTACGAATGACATAGATAAGAGGATAACATGGAATACACAGTATGAGCATCACAAAAAGCAACTCCAGCTACAGTAACATTCTCCAATAAATTCGCGATATTAATATGAAAAAACTATACAACTACTCTACCCTATGTACACACTACTCTACGTCCCCAACGCCCAAATCACAAAGTCGTTACTTTGGATTGGCAAGAGTGTTCTGAGGGCAGCAACAATCTCCTTATCTCCTCCCTCGAAATACTCTAAGCGTTCATTCAACGGCTTGCCCAAAAGAATGCCCCTTATTCTGCCGCGTTCCTCTTCGTCGGGGAAAAGAGTGGCTTTGGCTTGCTCCCAGGTCATTTTTATTAAAAGATTGAACAAAGATCGCGCGCGCGATGTGATCAGTGAGGCAAGAAAAAGTAGTCACATGACAATTATTACAACTGCGCCAGAAATATTATTATTATAGCGATAGTCTAATATTAAATTGATTGCACACAATACACACAATACAGAACATGAGTGATAGTTACGTGGCTAGAGACCGCGATCGGGACTATTACGATCGATCCCGAGACTCGAGAGACAGATCACGGCTACAAGGCGGTCTGACTTACTTGGAGAAACGCAAGGTCGATAGAGAACGCATGTTCTATTCAATATGGCCTTCGTCGCCCGAGCCGGAATCAGAGACGGATGACGAATCGCCCCCCAGCAGTCGTATGTATTTTCTTCGTAAATCCTTACTTCCAAAGCGCACACTCTTACCTATTTAACAAACTACTCGCTCAAGCTTCCCACAAATCGAAAAAAAAAACCAAGAGCGAAAGGAAACACAGGAAATCTAGTCATCGTCACAGATCACACAGGAAACACCGACGAAAGGCTGATTCCTCTTCCGGCGGATCCGAAACGGAGGATGAAAAGGAGAGGCGTAAGAAGAGAAGGGAAAGGGAGAGAGATAAAGATCATGGTGGAGAAAACGGATCACAGGTAACGGCAAATGATGTTAAAGAAATAGACGAAGAAGAATTGGAGGATTTGGAAAATTTCTGGGTTGAGAAGAAAGGTAAGCAATTATTAAAAAGTGAACACACGCTCTGTCCCATAAATAATAGAATATCGACTGTGACGGTTAATTATCACAATTATCTCTACAGTTGACCTTCCTGAAGATCTACAAGTCGGACCAGTACCGATTCCCGCACAAGAAACGAAACTTGGCGAAAGAGCGTAAATATGTTTCTTGTCTCGTTATTATTATATTGTACAGCCCAAGTTTCATTAATTGATCGACACCATGCCCTCTTTAGTTACGGAGGAGCCCTTCTCGCAGGTGAAGGTTCAGCTATGGCTGCTTACGTCCAGGAAGGAAAACGTATTCCACGTCGTGGTGAAATTGGTTTGACTAGTAATGAGATATCGTCGTTTGAGTCTGTTGGCTATGTAATGAGCGGGAGCAGGTAAATTCTTGGCACATACGCGTAGTGTATGGATGAAGCGATCAATGTAGAATCTCAGACAAATTGTGAAGCGTGTGTCCCACGTAACTACCTTTACTCCATTATAATAACATTTATTTTCTTTTAGGCATCGACGAATGAACGCTGTACGTATACGTAAAGAAAACCAAGTTATCTCGGCAGAAGAGAAGAGAGCGCTTATGCTGTTCAAGTATGTTGTAAAAAATTTTATTTCAATACCTTTGTATACCTTGTCTTAACATAACCATTCGAGTCATCCAACCATTGAATTTTTGTTGTAACATTATCAAACAGCCAAGAGGAAAAAGCCAAGAAAGAAAACAAGATTATATCAGATTTCAGAGAGGTTGTTGCAGACAAAATGCGAGGAAAGACCACACAATGAAGGTGATAAAGGCGGAATGTTGATAGCCTGAAAACCGCGGGCCTTGATTGAATCAACAGAATAGTAAACTCATCAACGCGATAGCCCCGCTCCCCAGAACGATGTTAACAGGAGAAGTGAATGTAGTGAGATCAAGGACATATGTGGGAGGAGGACTATGGAGGGAATTTTCTGGCGGAGAATTAAGGATTATACAGTGTATCCCTCTGCCTCGAGTTGAATCGTAATTGCGTAATTCAAATTCAGTCTCGATGGTCTAATTAATGTTAGTCGGTTTCGGTAATAAAACGAGCTGTTTAGTTTATTACTAAATCCAACATTGGATGCAAACCAATTATGGAAGTATCCTTTGGATACAGTGCTATATTTTCTTCTTTTGGATACTCACTGAGAGAATCGTTTATAATATACGTATAAAATTAACCAAATTAGTCATACGTCTGATCGATGTGTTCATCCTTTCTGTGAGCACTGGATATAAGACTTATCCCTAACGTCTCTTGCTAGCAGATGTAATATCGATGGAATTGCATTACTATTAAGAAAGCTAATAAATACTGCCATAACTGGTTTTGAGAAGCCAAAATCCTGACATTAGCAGTTTTAGAGTCGCATCATAATAATGAGTGTGACATTATGAAACCAATTAGGACAAAAGATTGTCGAAAAACGCGTGGACATGAAGAATACTTTCACGTGTAAACAATAAATATGTTATTGCCTTTTTTGGTACGTTATTTTTATTATGACTGCGTCACCAATCATGTGTTACCAGATTTTGTTATTTCAATGCGCGTTCATGCAAGTTCTGTTTTCCTACGGTTTTAAGCTCATTGATACCACCTAACGCTAACTCTAAGCACGTTCAAGTTCCAAGAAAGGGAATATTCGATGCCCAAGAAGACCAAATGGGAAGCAGCAATGTGTGCATGGTAAATCTTGAGAATGCGACTGCACGTCTTACACTCGATAGTTCAAGACAATGGGCCAAGCTGACGCCCGTCGATAGAGGATTTAACGGAATACAAGAAATTAAAATCTTTAAAGACATACATAAAATCGGAAGAGATTCAAAAAACGATACGGTATCACTATCAGTTTTTTATTATTATGTATTTCTGAAATGTGAGGTATGAGATTCTGAATAGGCTTTCTTCATTTAGGTACTAAGAGACATAGGAATAAGTCGCAATCACTGTGTCATAACCAAGGTATTTTTGAATTTATGTATATATGTGTACATTTTAATATAACTTAAGAACCATGGTTCTCACGTAATTAGGCGATAAAACAATTGGAACGAGAGTATTACGAGACAACCATCCAAAAATGCGGTAGCAAACCAACACTTTGGGTGAATGGTGCCCAGATCGAATACCCTCATACCATGGTAATATCATCTGGCGATATCATCACCTTCCCGTCACAGGAGCACGACGCTCACGTGGCATGTAAGCATAACGAAGGACTTTGATATTGATTGCGTGAATCTGCCAACTAATGAAAACTTGCTTACCCAAACTGTCTTAGATAAGTTCGAAGTGTTGTTAGATTTGGATTCTGTATTAACGGTATGACCCGAATCGAAATACGTCTTTGTACAATCTGTTACTGGTCGCAAACGCTTATCGAGTATATCATGTAGAATTTCAACAATAAGTATAGAACCCTGGGTACTATTGGACAAGGTTCATTCGCGCATGTAACATGCGTACAACAATTGTCAACAGGTCGGTTATACGCGTGTAAAAAGATGCAGAGCAATAGCGTTATGAGAGTCGGAGAAAACTTGGTACAGGAGTCTAGTCCACTCGCGATCGAGAAAGAAATAAGGATACTGAAAACCGCCAACCATGTATTTTTTTTGTTATGCAAATGTATTGGTTGAACAATGACTCGTTGCTTACACACAAGTTTCTCTAGGCTAACATTACGCGGTGCGAAGAAATATTTTATTATAAGAATGAGATTAGAATCATAATGGAGTAGTGAGTACTCAATAACTCTCTTCACTAAAGGATGATTACATAGAAATCGTTGTAACAAGTGACTTTTGCTGATATTCAGTGCGAGTGAAGGAGATCTAAGCGGCCGCCTTCAACAAGGACCCATGAATGAGACGGAGACCAGAACTGTCTTTACACAATTATTTCGGGGCATCCACGTAAGAATGACGTTATAATAATCTTATCGATATATAGCATCCTTATCTTAAGCGAGTTCTCTGCCATCTTTGGCACATCGATGACTACTAGTACCTTCATGATATGCGAGTCGTGCACAGAGACCTAAAACCACAGAATATACTCATATTTGATAAGCAATTGCTGGTCAAGATAACAGATTTTGGCATATCAGGCTTTATCGTTATAACGTCAACGCTCGAGACAAGATGCGGGACTCGCCTTTATGGTTAATAGATGACTACTTCGTCAGCTCTTATTGTTACAATAGCGACTGATTTATCTTTTACTGACTCGTTTAACTTTCAAGTTGCCCCGGAGGTCATGGACGCAACGTCGCGATATAATGAAAAGGCAGATCTTTGGAGTCTTGGCGTAATTTTGTATCAATGTCTATCTGGCGAGTTGCCGTTCAAAGATGATGCGAAGGCGATGCAAGGGATGTATGATTTTGGCAAAGACATCTGGGAGCAAACTAGTCTCAATGGTGAGTGTCTTGGCTATCGGTAATGGATGTTATCTGGGAAAAAAGTAATTGAGACCACAGTGAAATATTGGAGAGAGAATCTTGTACGAAATACGTCTATATATTTGATTGTGAATGTTTACTATTTACAGCTAAAAACCTGATATGCAAGTTATTACAACCTGATCCAAGAAAGCGCATATCGGCATCCCTGGCTTTGGTGTGTATCTCACATGAATCTTTCTCTTTGATAGTACGATTCCTTGTCTCAATTAACTGAAAAGTTTACTTTTTAGAAAGACCCTTTCATTATTTCTTCACCTTGGCACGCGTATACCTTTTCCAATTCCCCGCCTATACGTACAGAAAGTCTGCCTGAAAAACCAGCAACATTCATGAGCCCACGAAAGACGTCTGGCATTTCAAAGTTGTTAACTAGAACACTGTACGAAAGTGCGGTGGAGGCTGCTCCAACATCTTCTTATTTCACCGCATATGAGCAACGAGGAGCGGGGAATCACAACGCTGGGAAGATTAGAATGAGAGAGGGTCAAGAAGCAGCGACGATGAGGTCATTCGTTAGTAAATCGACAATATGCGAGGGGTCATTCATTACTGAATCGACAATATCTGGATCATATGTAGAATCGCGACAAGAGAGTCAAACAGAGTTAGTTCTGGAGGAAGCAACACCTGGGTCATATGTAGAATCGCGACAAGGACGTCAAATGGAGCTAGTTCCAGAGGAGCGTCAAATTGAGGTACGCAAGGATGAAGCAGCACCTGGGTCATTTGCAGAATTGCGACAAGAGAGTCAAATAGAGTTAGTTCTGGAGGAAACAACACCCGAGTCATACGTAGAATTGCGACAAGAGAGTCAAGCGGAGGTAGTTCGGGAGGAAGCAACACCTGAGTCATATTTAGAATCGCGACAAGAGAGTCAAATGGAGGTAGTTCGGGAGGAAGCAACACCAATCGTCGTCGATTCTGAGGATGAAGCTGAAGCTGTGGAAGACGAAGAAATAATAATAGCAGAATCCATATCAGACGTACCAGATATAACGTCAACAGAGTTTGATGATGACCGACAAAGAGAAGTGACAGTGCAGCAGACTGCACAGGCTTCGAGAAGCTTCATTACGAGAGCAAATCTAAGAGAATATCGTATGACACGTTCTCAGGGAGCATCAAGTCATAGAACAAGATACAGCAGGAGAGGAGGAAGCAGCAGGAGAGGAGGAAGCAGTAGGAGAGAAGAAAGCAGCAGGAGAGTAGGAAGCAGTAGGAGAGAAGGAAGTAGTAGGAGAGAAGGAAGCAGCAAAAATAATCCAATAGTATTGGACTAATTTCTAACTATTCATAGATCATAACCCTCAGACTTACTGAAGAAAGTAATTTGCTAATTTTTTTATGACCTTTGCATATATGCGATTGATAAAAATACTACGGCGTTAATTGCACTATAAAACCGTCACGAAGATGTGACAATAATAATTGATTAATAAAAGTGATCCTCTCTGACATTTAAATTTGTAAGTCAAAATGTAAAAATTGGTTGCTATTAACGATGAGGTTATGCACATTAAAAATTCTTGCCCGAATCTTATTATCCTTCGTGATTAAAGTGTTTTATCAATGCAAATTTATAATCTCGTGTTTCTTATGTGTGTGCTAATGGCGGTAATCAGGGAGGGTGCTTATTCACGCGAGGATACGTCGATAACGTTCGTATCACATAGCGTACTTTCATTTGACGCGTTTGATTTCATGAAGGAGCGTGATTTCTGTATTACATCTCCCGCCAGTTAGAATCTTGTATCTCTTTCCCGACTAGAATCACAATAAACTAAAATAATAGATCGTTCCCTTTATGAGTGGGCATTAGACCCAAAATTAACCAACAGGGAGAGGGTCCTTAATCTGTCTGTTTATCATTGTTGAAGATTAACAATTTGTATCGCATGATTGGAGTTTAAATCCAATTATTAATCGTGCGATTGTTCACTGTAACATATAAATACGAAGTGTGAGAGAGAAATATCAGCAATAAAACTCTAAGTTTCTAAAATACAATCGCTCAATCCATGTAATCGAAGATCAAGAAGGTGAAACTAGAATACAGCCAACCCTCTCTATAGTCACCCTTAAATAAACAATGAACGCAGAACTTTTATACGCATTCTTGGAGATGAGAACTATAAACTTATAGAAGATTTTAACTGGCGGCAGAGGTAATACAGAAGTCACGCTCCTGCAATAAAACTTGATAGTTGACGAAATTTCCTGTTCGTAAATTATGGCCATATCACAGTTTACTCCAACTCGATTGAATGTACTTCGTTCTGAAGAAGCGCCTGGATTATGTTTGGTGATCATGAGAAGAGATGAGGTAGCCATCCGATATCTTATATTACATGTTGCTTTAGAGGATTTATTAATATCTATTTATTTTTAATTCTAACGCAACAAGTCAATATGTTTCCAAGGTTGCATTTTAGTAGCTCCAATTTTAGGTTCGATCACTATCATGAACCATACTTTACGTGGGCCAATACCCATCAGTTACAACATTCGGTTCACCGATCTACTCGATGAAAATGTCACGATTCCATACTATCCTTTATTCTCGCCTTCTAGCGATGGATTGCTGAAATTGGAACCTGACAGATGGCCAACAGAAAGCGAATTAAATGCCCGCAGTAGTATCAAAGTTACCAAAGACGAAAAACGAATAGCCATAGAGCTATTAAATCAACTCATGGATACAGACGATATTCTCTTAATTATTATATTGCGTGAGATGGCTTGGTGCGGAGTTGATGGAATCGAAAGAGTGGCACCGTCTTTATATAAGAATTTGTTTTCTGGACAAGTCGGTCAGGAGGTCAATGCAGATGCAGAAGATTTGTTCAGATTAAGATTATTCCATCCGGTATGATACGACGAATTGTAAGATTCTGGAATTAGACGTTGATAACATTATTGTAGATATTTGAAAGCACTCCTGGCCTATTCGCTCTTTCCTCAACGGAGACCTGGACTGGGGCTATCAATCAATTTGTTGCTGAAGCTGTGCAACTAGGTAAGCTTGACGTTGTCTCAATATTGGAATATGACAATCATTGTTGAGGTTTTCGATTATTTTGCAGCTTCTAGGAGTATACCAGCAATTAGCATCACATACGGCCAAAAGAATGTTGGAAAATCAACGTTCTCAAGAATGCTGATAAATGCTCTATTGAACATGTATGTTATCTGCTCCTGTCTGTCACCATTCGAGTATTTCAATCTTATTGCTACATTACTCTTCGAATAGATTTCCCAAAGTTGCATATGTGGAAAGTGATGTTGGACAGTCAGAATTCACACCCGCTGGCCTTGTGTCTCTAACCGTTTGCGAATCACCTTTATTTGGTATCTGACCATTACATTAAGGACATCACGTATATCTTCTCGGAGTCTTTGGTTGACTAACTTATTGATCAATAGGGCCTTCATTTACACATCTCTCTCAACCGTATCGATCATATTTTATTGGCGATACAAAGCCAAGGGATGATCCCGATTATTATCTCACATGTTTAAACGAGTTGGTTAACGTATATCGACATGAAATTGCAATGGAACGAATGGGACATATGGATGAGGACACAAGAAGCCAAGGCATAGTACCCTTAATATTTAATGCTCACGGCTGGACCAAAGGTCAGTAATTGTCAAATTAAATTTACAAGTATACGAGTTCTTGTATTTGTATGTAAATTCAAAATTTGAACTGCTAAATTTGATTGCAGGTCTGGGCCATGACATCTTCCTCGAAATTATCAAATTTCTCAATCCAACACACATATTTCAATTCCATTCACCAACAAACCTCTATCGTAACTGTCCTACCATTCCTACTACCTCTGATATTCAACATAAAGATTATCTTCCAAAGCATATCCTCATTGATATTCCGGATTCTGTCTCAAGCTCAACTCGTCTCACTCCACATACTCGACGGACATTAAACTTTTTATCATATTTTTATGCGTCAAATCTATTAGAGTTGAACTCACCATGGTGGGATTATAACAACCCACTAGTATATCGGGTACCTTGGTGTCTGAATTGGAAGAAAGGATTGAGCAAAGGCGTGATTTTAATCAACTCAGATGTATCATTGAGTCACCTATTGTACGCTCTTAACGGATCTGTTGTTGGGCTGATTGGAGATGCAGTTGTCGATAAAGAGGCGGTTGTGGAAGTGTGTGATGAGGATAAAGAAGATCGTTATAATAACGAAAAGATAAATGTTACAGAGTCTGTTGGTGCGGTAAGTTGGAATAACTGTCAGAAGCGTATTATGCCTGATAGGTATTTGATATCTTACATTAATACATCTCATTACTCTTGGAACAATTTTAATTCACATTATTTCATATTATATCATATTTATCAGCATCCACCCCTCTACTACCGATCTCCCCCACATCCGCTTCCACACCCAACAAACTACACCTGCCATGGACTGGCCATAATCAGATCCATTTCTCCTTCCACTAATACACTCCATATCCTCACTCCAGTTTCATATACTACTCTCAGAAAAGTAACTGCCATCATGAAAGGAAGTCTTGAACTTCCAGTATGGGCCATGCTAGATCATAATTCTAAATCTTCCACACATTTATGTGGAGTACCATGGGAAAGAGTACCGTATTTGTCTCTTGATCCCACCGGTGGCGTGGGACATAGTCCTACAAGCGTTAGAAAGAACTTGATGCGACGAGGCCAACAAAAGCAGCAGGGCTCCAAAAGAGATGCGTAGTACTGGTTGTATTAATGGTAGAATCATGGGACATGAAATAGAAAAATAAATGCGATTAAGAGTATTTCTTTCATACATAAAGTATGACACGAAATCATTGATAATAATAAAAAAAAGAGCGGTATAATAATACCCTTTTTAATATTCAGCAATAATATACTGCGCATCATATTCGTATAATGTCATAATCACCACTCTGTAAAGGTAGAAATAACTCGAACTATCAAACATCGTCAAAAAGGAGATCGCGAAAACTTGCTTACGTAACTAATTTAAGCAGAAACAAATAGTAATAGGTGCGTACGATGATGACACTTAAAGTATTAAATCATTTATCGATAAAAAATTATGTGAGAAAAAATTTGGGACAGCAATCGGCACTTTTTTAACGTTTTTAGCTGGATCGAATACCTTTTAAATATCGCGCAAAGCGAAGTGGTACCACACGCACTCCGTGCGATAAAAAATATTTCGCAAATAGTTCTAAAGGTTATAAATAATGATGCTTTATTGCAAAACAAACACGCATGTAAGATGAGACTATAATGCAAAAACCTCATATATGATTTAAGTATTAAGAAATTATTGTAAGGGACAGTAACAATCCCCTTGCTTATTACCTGGATAAATAATTCGCTGAACCACAATCTTCAGTCGCCAAAAATTTACCTTATTTACACTTTCTATTCGAATTAAGACCATTATAGATATCAAGGAAAATTTACGTAATTCTTTTTTTGTATGGAGTAGTAGGAATACCAAGGCGGGCTTCATATTCCCGCTTATGTTTTAAGAAATCATCCTCGTTTATACTTTTACGTTCTTTTTTCCAGTAGTTTGTATTATCCCGAAATTCAAAGACAATATTGGCCTTCCATTTTTCTCGCATTTTTGCTGTAAGGTTATCTATGTCAGATTCGTTTTTGATAAGAAATTCTGAAGACGAAGAAATCGAGAGCCCAGACATTTTCTTCTCAACTGTAAAATTGAGAATTGATTTTGGCGTATTCATGATTGTATTGTCGCTTGAGCGAGAACCTTCAAATGTTCATCTATTTTAAGTCTCAAGTGCGTAGGCTGATTTTTACGATCTTTTTCTCGATCAAGTGGTATCTTGAATTCCTTTAGTGGCCTTTCCAGAAATTTCGTAAAGTAACCTATATCATAATTAGCATGTTATCTACATCTTTTACCAAATACTACATAATAATGATGTTCTTTTTTTTATAAATCATAAAGAGTTTCTACAGACTCCACTTTACGTGGCTGGTACATGTCATCGAAAATTCTATATCTTCACTAGCCGATATATTTTTTTAATCGAGATAAATTTATTGAAAATACGTTTGCAAATGTTCGCACTCAAATACCCTTTTTCCTGCAATGAGCGATAAATGTAAGGTAAAAGATCGCAGGTATACGGAATTTCAATAAGGTCTATACCTTGTTGCATGCATAATCCGTTTTTCCTGTGATACAAATCATTACGATAACAATGATGTGGCCTGTTAAATTCAAACGCTAATTTTAGCTCTTCATTGTAACAACCCTTCTAAGAACTTTGGTGTACATGGCGGGAAGTCTTTGCCCAGCAAATCTTTGAAAATATATCTACACCGTCTCGCTCATCGGTAAAATGCGGGCAAATTGGGCACCATTCAAACCTTTTCGTAATTAATTTCAGTGGATATTCCCATTGATGTGCGCCATTTTGCAGGATCAAAGAAAAACATTGTAGCCATTTATTTTACCGGTTTTTGCTATAACACTCCCTCCACGTCTTTTGGCTTTAGTTAATTTTTCGGAAACTCGCGCTATATGAACTAACCGGGTAAGCCGATTCTCAGACAATATACGTTGAGGAGGATATTGGATCTTATCTGGGTCGTAGACATGCATGAGCTCTTCTCTAACAAATCCACGCGATGGAGCATATTCTCCGTCTAAATAATATAAGACTAAAGTCGCGTTTTAGTCTCTTTTTCAAGGCAATGATACTGTAGGTAAACTCGCCTACCCCAATGCTTCCAACAGTAAATCAAGACGAATTAGTCAGACAGCAATTTTTCCAGGGTTTTACTCCTGATAATCAAATGGAAGCTGGACGAATCGATTTAGAAACACCTATTTCTGGTTTGAGAGATAAAGCTCATCAATTAGTTGGGCTTACCCAGCCTATATATCAGGCTCCAGTAACTACTTCTCCAGGTATTACATTTGCTGAGATCGAAAAGTTAAATTCGAAAATGGTATCCTTACAAGAACAAATACCACAACCAGCTCAAATACGCCCCCCTCAAACTTCTCAGAAGAATGAGGCATTAGAACATCTGTATATACTTGCACAGCGCTAGGGTGTCCGCAGAAGATACTTAATCAAAAAAACGCCTCAACCTTAAATAATCTATGTTACTGAAGAGCTAACACAAGATTAGGTGCTGTTGAAGCTTTTATGGCTAAAGCCTCCAAAAAAGAACCTTTTCCCGATCCACAAATTTATGTGTCCAAAAAATTGTCTCAACATCGATGCTCAACTGTGGTAAGACTGGACATAATGCTCGCAACTGTAAAAAATTCTTCAAGTGAATCCGAAGCTGAGATCAATGTCAATATAAGCCGAGAAAAAAAAAAGTAAAGCAAAAGAACGAACGAAGCTCAGAGTCTCTGACACATAGTTCTATGCCTTCACAGAGGCGACGTAAGTCGCTTTGCGAAGCAAATAAGAAGTGTTCAAAAACTCTGCCTCCTTATTCTAGCTCTGAGAAAAATCAGTATAAACAAACGCGGTTAGAACAGATCGTAGAAAAAATTATGGAGAAAAAGCTTAGCAAAATGTTGAAAATAAATTGCCCTTGACCACAGGAAAAAATTGCTACACAAAACGCAAAATGTTCTAGCAATAATAGACCACCCGAAACCCAGCTAACTTCGCGTCCTACAGATATAAAAAGGTGATTTCAAAAACACCGGAGTCATTGAGTGTTGGGATTCAAATGCAGTGGTACCACAGAAACATTTTTCATTTCGTCAAACACCAATTTAATCATTTTTTTCGCGTTATATGAAATAATTGGCATTAGACAACTGCTGAAACGACTCGCAAAGTGAGGAGGCTTGCCTCTGATTTACTTGAATATCAAGGTACAGTACTCGCACTCCGTGCGTTATTCACGTTTTTCTTTTTCCAATAATTTGCACATACCGTATTTCGAAGCAGTTGGTGTGTCACACTCTCCACAAAGAAAGCGTGATCGCATTTTCCAATGAAAAGCACAATCATCCTGTTGATAGCAGCCTTTTCCACAAACGCGTCCATTGATGTAAGAATAGAATGCCATTACTATAACTGTAATTGGTTGCTTTTCAATTTCTATATGAAATAATTATTTTTCGAATTGAAAGTTTTGTCGTTTTTATCATAACTTATTATATTAAAATGTCCTGATAACAGAACTGCTTACACTAACGTTATTCGATTGCTGTAATTAGTTCAGTAAATTTTGGATGCTTTCTAAAGTGCGAAACCGATGGACATTTGTCTTCTTCCGCTTCTTTTTCATTTTCAATTGTACCCTAAATTGCATCGATAATTTCACTGTCATCAACTACTTGAGTTGCTTCCAAGTTTGAATCAATGCCAATATAGTCGTTTGCCGTCAAATCTGTTTTCTTCGATTTCAATCGACATATTTTCCGTTTGATGTTCTTTAGGGATAATAATGCCAATCCTTGCCAACATCGATAAATTACATCATCAGTTATGTTATTCCATGCTTCTGCAGTCCAGTTGATTGCATGAAATATATTCAGTGCAGGAATTTCGTAACCATAACTTTGATATTCATCTTCATGCATCAATTCTATCTTACAGAGTAGTTTTATATAGTGAGCCTAATCCATATGCTGAATTGTTCCAATAGTACAACACAGGAAGTGTCTTTTTATTGACGCGGCGAATACAGTGGGGGATTTTTGTATTTGTGAATAAGGACAACAGGTAATTTATGTGTACCAGTTAGATTGCATGCGAGCATTATTGTTATGCGATCCTTAGATATCTTCCAAATTATATTGTAATTGCGAAATTAAAGATTGCAATTCCTGCTTCTCCTGTTATGCGATATTGCTTAATTTCCTTTTTTAAAATTGGACATCCAACCCTATTTAATAGTTGATAATAAGTATGGACTAGAAGTTAATACTTAATCCTTGAAAATAGTAAGTAGAAGGTATGTTGCTTACCGTTGATGCATTAAGGCGTTAGCAGTTTGTAGAGGTTTATATATTGTAAACTATTGTAAGGCACTATGATTGCAAATAGTCGAAACCTTAAATAGAATTCTTGCAGAAGACCGACGATCTGTTTTTAAGGGATGTTTACAATGCAGGCAACACCAGTTTGAACCATTAAGAGACTCGCAAGAGTTTCAACTGCAATTCTTATTATGTCAAAACTATCATCAGAAACGAACGATTCAGGCTGTCGCTTAACTACGTTCGTGGATACTGTATTCTTCTTGTCTCAATATGTTTAAACAGAACATCGTAAACACTATAGTTTATGCATGCGGCGATGACTAACGTTAAGGTTATTACGAGGGCCCTGGCCTGGTAATCTGATTGATCCGTGCTGTTTATTCCCTGTGCTCAGGGGCTCCTTGTGATGCATAGGTGAGTACGCGTTCCTTTATTCGGTTTGTTTGGGGGTTAGGTAATTGTTTCGTATATTGGTGGCGTCTCGGACAGTTCTTCCGGTGTTATTACGATATGGCCTTTCCTAATAGGGCCAAACAATGAAGGTAACTATAAAGACACTGAATCGTAAAGATAACGAAGAATGCTTGTCACAAAATGCGTTTGACTACTGCGCCTGCTCCTCCGATATTTCCTATCCGCATTCGGTTCCTTACAGAGTCTGTATATGTAGCTAATGTGAATACATACACTACTGGAGAGTTACTGTTGAAGAACTTCCAAGCTTGTGTAGGAACGAGTTATAGTCACTACAAGCTTACATACGATGATAAAGACATCCAATTTGCAGATACTCTTGAAAAACTTGGAATCAAGGTGAAGTATATAATATTTAAGCGATTTGCTTGGAAACGAGTTAGTACTCACATATCTGTTTCACAGGAAGGAGACTTGGTCAAAGCTGAGTATGATAGAGGCGAGAATTCAACTAGTGCAATTGTCCCGTCACATGTCGAGTCAATGCCGACTACAACAGAGTTCTCAACAGGCCCAATTCTAATCTATGTGAAATTGACAACTGGAAAAATTATAGAAATGAATGTGAGATGGAGTGACACCATTTCCCAGCTTAAAAAAATGATTCAAGATGAAGGAGTTACTCTTGATCAAGTCGATATCGTATTTGACGGCATGCAACTACATGACAGATACACCTTGTCATATTACAATATTCAAAAAGAGTCCACGTTGCATTTACAACCTAGACAACCTAAACCTAGCAGATTACCCAGCATTCGCGTTCCAAAGATTCCAAGAGGTTCAACAACAATATATGTGAAATTGATGAGTGGAAAAATATTAAACCTGGGAGTAGATATGCATGAAACCGTTTCCTCACTTAAAGAAAGGATCCAGGATCAGGAAGGCATCCCTCCTTATCAACAACAAATTAGCTATGCTCATGTGCAACTGGAAGATAGACATACCCTGTCAGATTACCATATTCAAAAAGAGTCCACACTGGAACTTGTAGTTAGAATAACGGTCTTTGTCAAAACGGCTACTGGAAAAACGATAAGTTTGAAAGTAGGATTGTGTGAAACCATTTACATGTTCAAGAAAAAAATCCATGATAAAGAAGGTGTTCCTCCTGATCAACAATCTCTTGTACATAATGGCAGACACCTGGAAGATGCACGTACCTTGATGGATTACAATTTTCGAAATGAGACCACATTACTACTCATGATTAAATCAGCTGGGATTTCTTCTGGGATTCCACTTGGAACGATTTTTGTGAAAACACTGACTGGTAAAACGATAACTTTAACAGTAGACTCGTCTGATACTGTTGGCAATGTTAAACAGAAGATCCTGGATAAAGAAGGCATCCCTCTTGACCAACAGCGTCTGATTTTTGCTGGCCGGCAATTGGAAGATGGGAATACTCTGTCGGATTATAATATTCAAAATAATTCCACATTACACCTTGTAATTAGATATAAACCTGTGCCTTCTTATTCTTCTGAAATTATTTCAGGAATGCACATCTATGTGAAAACACTGACTGGTTGCACAATAACTTTAATAGTAAACTCGTCTGATACCATTGATAATGTTAAACAGAAGATCATGGATAAAGAAGACATCTCTCCTGACCAACAGCGTCTGATTTTTGCTGGCAAGCAATTGGAAGATGGGCGTACTCTGGCAGACTATGGTATTTTGAATGAGTCCGTATTGCATCTTGTACTTAGACTACGTGGTGGGATGCTTCAAGAAACCAGTGGCCGTAAAGAATTTGATGCATTGCCCCCACTCACACAATATATGCAAACACCTGAAGAACTTTTGCAATGTGGAGTTCATGTTGGTATTGTCTGTGATTATTGTGGCAAAAAAGAATGGAAAGGAATAAGGTTAATTAATAATCATTTAGCTGCATATGTATTATTATCTGTAAAAATTTTCAATTCTGCTTACATGTCTCTTTTTCCTCCACCTACAGATATAAATGTTTAGAATGTCCTGACTATGACTTATGCTCTGATTGTATTACGATTTCCAACTTGCTCCATGATGTGCTACATTACTTTCGCAAAATCGTAGATCCAAAGGATGATCTAAGCAATACCACATCTGCATCCGCATCCGCATCTGCATCCACATCTGTTACTGTTTCCCCAATACTTCCAACTACAAAAGAGGAACTGTTAGCCCTGCTACGTGAAGAAGAGAAGCGAAGATTTTCACCTGAAATACAAAAGCGATATTATGAAGTCGGGATTGATCCCACATGTGGTAAGGACTGGATGGATGTTACTGATCAGATGTAGCATGAATTGGTTCGAGAATTCGGCTATTCAGATGAGGCTGTACAACTACTACGGCGTGCCCCACAAATTTATCCAGGTGAGGTTATCGATTCTTTATGTATTTTCCTTGACATTTGCGATTTCGTGCACTCAAGGCTTTTTTTTTCTTCATCATCCAGATGATCCTCGATTTCATACAACTCAAGTGTATGTTCGTAATAACATTTGTCATCTGGGAAATCTAACCGAAGGAATGCCAGCACCTGATTGTCCACTGGTTCCACTAGACCCTTCATCAACACTAGTTTCCTTGCGCTCACTTTGTCAACCTGGACGGCCACTCGTTATTCTCGGTGGATCATATACCTGTCCTTTATACCGATGCATATCTCATGTGCTCAATGATATATACAGGAAATATAATTCACAAATCGATTTCTACATGATTCAAATTCGAGAAGCACATGCTTCCGATGTTTGGCCTATTGGTAATGTTGTGAGCGTTAAGGAGCACCGCACATTAGATGAACGTTTAGCTGCTGCTCGTGAAATGGTCAAAGCGACTCGGCTGGAAATTCCCGTGTTTGCAGATACGATGGATGACGTTTTCTTAAAATTGTACAAACCATGGCCCTTTCGCTTTTTTGTCATCGTAGATGGTATTTTGAGACTTGTTGGAATGCCAAAAGAGGCGCGTTATGATACAACCGACTTAGTCATGTGCTTGGATGCTCTCCTAAATGACAGATAATAGGAAGTTTCAGAAGGCATGGAGTGAAGATTTATTTATACCAACTCAAAATGGTACTTTATAAATTAAGGCTATAATCTGGTTATAGCAAATTTTTCAGGACAGAACAAAATTAGGGAAATTTTCTGTAACCAAAGAGTCTCAATTTAAATGATTAGTTTCCAATATTAATAAATCTTTGCAATACAATTATACTGTTAATGTTAGGGCGTCATTATTTATATGGCTTCGCTTGGACAACGAAGAACTCACCTCTACTTTTCTGTTTAATCCAGCAACTTCTATATTGTCATCCGAATCGCATCCAATATTGAGGGGGTTTCGAAGGAGGACTCCGGTTCCTATTTCCTAGCAAACACTTCATATAGTAGATAGCGAGAAATTAAGCTCATTAACGAGTATATTGCTTCTTTGTTTACTTTTCGTGATTGATGACGTGCTGTCGCTGTTGTGTTTGCTGGTGGACGGCAATGTTTGTAAGTAAAGTTCCTCGTCGATCCGGTGACATCAATATATAACAACATGAGTTGACTTGGATTCGATTTAATTCTATTAACAAGGTGGACCAAATCAAATGTTGCGTCCAAGCTTTGTTATTGCATTAGTAAGGAAAGGTCCATAATAATAAGACTTGATTTTGTACATCCGTTGATGTCCGTGGGGTTTCGTATCGATAGACAAGGGCCAGTCCAATTTTTTCACCCAATAAAATACCATAACGCGTTCTTCTGGATAATGTCCTGATACCAGAAAAATCCGTTAAACATGCTCTCAACTCATAATTTTATTAGCATCTCGTAATTGGCTTCTGAATTCGGGAAGTTTCCACCAGATTTCACGCGTTCTTGAACTCAATCAATTATCGATCGATTGCAAATTTCCTGGTCGTTTTTTTTTTTTTTTTTTTTTTTTTTTTTTTTTTTTTTTTTTTTTTTTTTTTTTTTTTTTTTTTTTTTTTTTTTT